ATTTCCTGTGTCCTTAGTCTGTTGCTTAAGCTTGTTATTTGCTTTTAGCAAAAAATCTTTTAAGGAGGCAATCTGCATTAATTTAGTCATTTACCTGCCTCCAGGTATCAATTAAAAAATGCATCCTATTGTCTTTGTGAGCATTTTGGTCCCTGCTTTTTCTAATATGCCTAGCAAATAATTCTATCCAAATTAAAATTTCCCATTGCGGCCACTTTAATTCTAGGTTAACCCTACCTACTTCTGAACCCACTTCAGTTCTGTCTCACCCAGGCAGACTGAGGCCTCCTGTTTCTGTCATGACTTCCAAAGGTCATACGCTCTCTCATAGTATAACACCCTAGATCCAAAAACCAAAAAGATAAAAAATACCTACCCAAGGTGCTTAAACTGGATCCAATCCTATTACATGTTGAATCTAATTTGATTCTGAATATATTAATAGTCTAACACAGTCAGCCACCTGGCCATTTAACTGAATCCATTTGAGTATACTAGGGCAGAAAAGACAAAACAGGAAAAACTATTGCTTAGATAAACTTGGTATGTTTGTTACAATTGATGACCCTATATTAATGCATTATTACTAAAGTTCATACATCACATTGGGATCCACTCCTGGTGCTGAATATTCTGTGGAACTTGACAAAGGTATAATATAATATATTATATATACAAAGGTATAATATAATCATACTTATCTACAACTAAAATATTATAAAGAATAGTTTCTTTTTTTCTTTTTCTTTTTTTTTTTTTGAGACAGAATCTCACTTCTGTTGCCTGGGCTAGAGTGCCTTGGCGTCAGCTTTAGCTCACAGCAACCTCAAACTCCTGGGCTCAAGCGATCCTCCTGCCTCAGCCTCCGGAGTAGCTGGGACGACAGGCATGCGCCACCATGCCCAGCTAATTTTTTAAAATATATATATATATATATATATGTTTTTAGTTAGCCAATTAATTTCTTCCTATTTATAGTAGAGACAGGGTCTTGCTCTTGCTCAGGCTGGTCTTGAACTCCTGACCTTGAGCAATCCACCCGCCTTGGCCTCCCAGAGTGCTAGGATTACAGGCGTGAGCCACCGCGCCCAGCCTAAAGAATAGTTTCATTGCCAAAAAAATCCTCTGTGCTCTGTTTATCTCTCCCTCTTCCCTAATCCTTGGCAACCACCGATCTTTCTAGTGCCTCCACAATTCTGTCTTTTTCAGAATAACATATATTCAGAATCATACAGTGTATAGCCCTTTCACATTGGTTTCCTTGCCTTAGTAACATACATTTAAGTTGCCTCTATATCTTTTCATGACTTGAAAGCACTTTTCCTTTTCTTTTTTTTTTTTCCTTTTTATATTTAGCTGTAGAGAATCCAGTTGTGTTTATTCTTTTTCTTTTGATACATAATAGTTGGACACATTTATGAGTACATGTGATATTTGGACTCATGTATGTGTACTGATGAAATCAGAGTACTGGGAATGTCAATCACCTTAAATACTTACCATTTCTCTGTGTTGGGTACATTCCAAATCTTTTCCTGTGAGTATTTTAAAATATACAATAAATTGTTAACTATTGTCACCCTATTGTGCTACCAAACACTGGAACTTATTCTATCAAGTTGTATTTTTGTACCTATTAACTAACCCTCTTTTTATCCCTTTCCTCGACCACCATTCCTAGGCCCTGGTAACCAAAATTCTACTGATTGTATCAATAAAATCAATTTTTCAAGCTCTCAATGTAAGTGAGAACATGGGATATTTGTCTTTCTGGGCCTGGGCTTTTTCATTTAACATAATGACCTCCAGTTCCATCCATATAGCTGAAAATGACAGAATTTCTATCTATTTTATGATTGGACAGTAATCCATTGGGTATATATACCATGTTTTATTTTTTTTTATTTTTAAATTTCAGAATATTATGGGGGTACAAACATTTTGGTTACATATATTGCCTTTGCTCTGGCCCAAGCCAGAGCTACAAGTGTACCTATCTTTCATCCAGACAGTGAGCTCTGCAACCATTAGTTGTGAATTTACCCATCCCTTCTACCCCCGTCTCACCTGCCTGGCACCTGATGAATATTACTTCCATGTGTGTACCTAAGTGTTGATCAGTTAGTACCAAATTGATGGTGAGTTTATGTGGTACTTGTTTTTCCATTTTTGTGACACTTCACTTTGAAGAATGGGCTCCAGCCTCATCCAGGACAATGAAAGAGGTGCTAGTTTACCATAATATTTTCTTTATCCATACATCATTGATGGGCATTTAGGTTGACACTGTATCTTGATTATAGTGAATAGTGCTGCAATAAACAGGAGTGCACCTATCTCTTTGATATACTAATTTCCTCGCTTTTGGAGATATACATAGCAGGGGGATTGCTGGACCATATGGTAGTTCTATTTTTAATTCTTTGAGGAACTCCCCATATAGTTTTCCATGGTGGCTGTGCTTTAACTTTACATTCCCATCAACAGTATACAAGCATTCCCTTTTTTCACATCCTTGGAAATGTCTGTTATTTTCTTTTTGATAATATCTACTTTAACTAGGATGAGATAATATCTCATTGTGGTTTTGATTTGCATTTTCCTGATCGGCAGTGATGCTGATCGTTTTTTCATATACCCATTGGACATTTATTTTTTTTTTTAAAGATATGTCTATTCAAATTTTTTTACTAATTTTAATTGTGTTTGGGATTTTGGTGTTAAAATGTTTGACTTTCTTTTTTTTGAGACAGAGTCTTGCTTTGTTGCCCAGGCTAGAGTGAGTGCCGTGGCATCAGCCTAGCTCACAGCAACCTCAAAGTCCTGGGCTCAAGCAATCCTTCTGCTTCAGCCTCCCAAGTAGCTGGAACTACAGGCATGCGCCACCATGCCTAGCTAATTTTTTCTATATAGAAAAATTAATTTCTTTGTACTTACAGTAGAGACAGGGGCTCACTCTTGCTCCAGCTGGTTTCGACTCCTGACCTTGAGCAATCCGCCAGCCTCGGCCTCCCAGAGTGCTAGGATTATAGGCGTGAGCCACCGTGCCCGGCCAAAATGTTTGACTTTCAACATTGATAGTCCCTTGTTAGATGAATAGTTTGCAAATATTTTCTCCCATTCTGCATGTTGTCTTTTCACATAGTTGTTTCCTTTGTTGTGCAGAAGCTTTTTAGCTTGATATAATTTGTCTATTTTTGTTTATATTGCCTGTGCTTTTTATATCCTACCAAAATAGCTGTGCCCCGTCCAATGTCCTGAAATGTTTCCCCAGTGTTTTCTCTAGTGTTTTCATAGTTTCATAACTCTACCCTTAAGCCTTTAATCTGTTTTTAATATTTGTTTTTTGTATATGGTAAGAGATAAGGCCTAGTTTTATTATTCTGCATATAGACATTCAGTTATTCTGAATATATACCATTTATTGAAGAGTCTGTTCTTTCCCCAATGTATGTTCTTGGTGAAAATGTGTGTATTTATTTCTGGGATCAATATTCTGTTCCACTGGTGTATTATCTGTTTTCACAGGACTATCATGCTGTTTTGGTTACTACAGCTTTATAGTATATTTTGAAGTCAGCTAATGTCTTCACCTTTGTTCTTTTGGCTCAGGATTGCTTTGGCTATTTGGGGACATCAGTGGTTCTCTAGGAATTTTAGGATTGTTTTTTCTATTTTTCTGAAGAATGACACTGGTACTTTCATAGGGATTACATTAAATCTGTACATCATTTGAGGTAGTATGGACATTTTAATACTAATTCTTCCAATCCATGAGTATGGGATATCTTTCAATATTTTTAATCTTCAATTACTTTTATTGGTACTCTTGTAGAGATATTTTACTTTTTGGTTAAACTTATTTCTTGGTATTTTTTATAGCTATTGGAAACGAAGTTACTTTCTTGAAATCTTTTCCAGATTGTTCACTGTTGAAATATAGAAATGGTACTTACTTTGGTATGTGGGATTTGTATCCTGCAACTTTATCAGTTCTAACAGTGTCTTGGTGAATTCTTTAGGTTTTTCTAAATATAAGGTCACGTCATCTGCAAGGAATGACAATTTGCTTTTTTTGTTTTTCAGGCAGGGTCTCACTCTGTCATCCTAGCTACAGTGCAGTGGCATCATCATAGCTCACTGCAACCTCAAACTCCTGAGCTAAAGCAATCCTCCTGCCTCAGCCTCCCAAGTACCTGGAATTACAGGTGTGCCACCATGCCCAGCTAATTCTTTTTGACAGATGGGGCTCTCACTGTTTTTCACACTGGTCTAGGAGGAAAATAAATGAAAGGAAAGAACTTTTATTAAATGCTGACTCAGTACCAAAAACATGATCAACATCATTTATTCACCCATCTAACAAACAGTTGTTGAGAGTTTACTCTAGTTCTGGCACTGAACACTATAAGTATTATCCCTATTGTACCGCTAAGGAAGCAGAGCCACAGATTTATAAAGGAATTCACCCAGTGTCCACAAGATTTCAACTCAGATCTGCTAATTAAGCTTATGTTTTTCTGTAATAGGAAAGTCTGGAACAAAGTAAAAGAATATAACTAGGAGACAAGAAAGAGAATGAGAGAAAGACTTCATTGAAGAACAATCACCTAACCCCATAATACCCTGTCTTCCAAACAAAAACTTGATTCACATTGTATTAGCCAACAATTTTTAAATATAATTTATACAGTTTTTCCACAACATTCTATTTACCAGTCACCACTAACAATCTTCTAAGAATTCAACAATAACCCAATATTGAAAGTTTTCTGGCATAAACCACTATGTTTCCCAAGACTACCATACACTAACCTTACAATGCCTTTATTATTATTAATTTCAAGAGGTGTGTGCTTATGTTTCTGTAAAAAGCTATTTAATTGTATATACTGACATTTTTATGGGTGAAATGATTTGATGTTTTGGATTTTCTTCAAAATAATGTAGGGGCTTAGAGGAAATATGAGAGGTCATCAGTTGACAAATGGTGAGCTGAGTGATTAATATAGAGGTTTATTTTGCTTCTTAAATGGCAAAAGATCGATCACCATGTTTGGGCACAAGCTTTTTCTCCAGAGAAATATTAAATATATTTTTCAGCACTTCTTCTATTTCTTGTTCATCCAGAGTCTTAAATTCTACCAGATCTATATTGTCCTTATAATTGAATATCCTGGAGGTGAGGGTCCAGCCCACTAAACAGTGAACCCCTTCTGTGGTCTGTAAAGAACAAAATGATTTGCTTGTAAACACAGATGCTGGAGATTCCTGCAGGTATGTGTTAATAGGCTCAAAATCTTCAATTGTTCGAGGTTCAAGAGTAAAGGAGTAGATTTTTCGGTATTTATTGTTTTCCAGGAGATCAGAATTAAGAAATTCTTTGTTTGGAATGTACTGCTCTCTTCTGATTTGGTCCAGGTACCAGATGCCACTCTCTTCTCTCAAGCGGAAGATGCAAGGCACCTGAGGCTGATCCTGCCCAGAAATTAACTCCAGAGGCTGCCACATCTGGTAGGAGCGTCCAAACCCAGCATCAACAATGTACTTCCTGCTACCAATGGTCACCTGCAGTACAAGGTGAATCATGTTACTGCTGTATTTGTCAGCTGCAGTTATGTAAACATACCCTCCCAAAATCGTGGTCTCAAAACCAATTGTGCACAGAGCCCAGTACAGAAGTTGATTGACCTGGAGACACCACCCACCCCGGTTCTTTCTCACAACTTGATCAAAAATGGCCTGTAAGCCCAACTCCATGGCTTCCCCACAATGTATGTTAAGGTTCTCAAAGGGAATGGCCCGGATGTGGTGCTGAAGAATGTCAGTTAGTGTTTCCAAGTCCAAGTTCTTCCTAGAGTTCTTATAACCAATTCTTTCAAAATATGCTTCAATGTCCATGATGCCCTAAGCAAGGAAAACAAAGGAAAGACAGATAGTATTACTTTTCACATGAATTTCTTTGAGCAGACTAATTATAGCTGTAATGTATATTACCTATGTAAAAACACTCTATGGTTACAAGTATCTGTATTAATAACAACTTGTTTAGTGCTTTATTGTATGAAATGCTTTCACATGCACAAGTTCACTTAATAGTCTCAGAACACCCTGTAAGGAAAGTAGTATCATTTCTTCTATCTTTCAGGCATAAAAAACTGCAAATCCAGATGAAATCATGAGCCAAATGATAAACAGTTTATTTATGGTTTTCTTGGGAATTAATAAAAAAGAGATTCCAGTTGGTATCAATTAAGTAGTTTTAGAAACAGATCCTGACATAAGAAGTAGAATTATGCAATAGAGAACGCCGTACTCAAGGTACACAACGCACTTGATTTCCTCTTTTGTTGAATGTTACACAAAGTCCCCCACTGAAAGAATTACATTTCTTCACACATTGATAGATTCATTCAATAGTTCACTGAATATCATTTATGTATTTGCTAGTCATCAGTGTTTACTTGTCCTCAAAAATCTTACATTTCACTGGGAGTCAGAGTAACATTCTGACTGGTAAACTGGATAAAATATTCAGTAGTCAACTGGTAAATGGATAAAATGTTCTATCGGTTAGACTGTGGTAAGTACCCAGGGAAAACTAAAGCAAAGAAAGGGATTAGTGAGGGCACAGGGAGAGCTTCAGTTTCAAAGATGGCATCTAAAGAAAGACTCATGAAGACTATAAGGATGCTGGAGAATAAGCTCAGTGGATACGTGTGGGGAAAATTGTCCCATGCAGAGGAACAGAAAGTTAAAAAGCCATAAGCTGTGTAAGAAACATCTAGGAAGTCAGGGTGATGGGAACAATAGTGAAGTGAGAAGTGAGAGAGACAGAGGGGATTGAGATGAGATAAGATAAATATAGTTTTAGCCCCAATATCTACATTATGGCTGTTACTCTAAATGACAAATCCAAAATGAGAGGGAAGAGAAAAGGGTTGTAATTTGAACAATGTTTGTCATAATCAAAGGGATCTTTCTGACTACTGTGTAGATAATGAGCTGTCCATATTGAGCTCTATGGATTGTCACATGAACTAGGGAGCACCAATTAAAACACGTTTTAGTACCAATGTTTGGCTCATGGATGGCCGGGAATGTAAGTAGATCAATGAGACACTTATTGAATTATTTTTGCCCAAATCTAAGTATATATTTTCTGCTGAAGGGTTAAAAGCTAGTGGGATAGTACCCCAAAGCTATTGGGGTAGTCCTAGTGAAGAACAACACTAATATGAATCCACAAAGTTGAGGAATGAAGAACAGGAGAAGGGAGGATGAAAGTCATCAATGAACGCTCATGCAATCTTTTAACTTTCATGGAATGTGAACCAAAAGAAAAATGCCCCTTATTTTGTTTAATCCTTTTAGAAAACATTTTTGTAACCTCCTATCAAAGAGTCTTCATCTACTGAGACTTTTATTTGCAACAGTGGTGCCCAGACCTGAAGAGTAACTCCTTTGTAGTATGGCACAGCCTAAGGATGACATGGTACCAGGTGCATGGTGGTAAGTAAAGCATCTCTATTTTCCATCCTCTTGTAATTTCTTTCATATTTTTATCTTTCTCTTTTTGACCCAAATATCCTTCCAATATTGTCAGTGTTCCCAACCTTTCCTGTCCTGAGTTGTACAATATTATTTCTCCTAAACCTACTAGAACCAGCACTCTTTCTCCACATTTAGACAAGCTCTAAAACTCTACCACTCAGGCACAGAGAGAAAAATTTGTATTTACTCAGATCACCCCTCCCTTCCCCCTCCCTTTTTCTCAGGATGAAATGTTGAGTTGGAATTTAGTAACTGCAAGTTCATTTGAAAGGAATTAATTTTTGTTAAAGTTCAGGATACTAGCAAATGTTGTAACCAAATAATACTTGAGTATTTTGTGGCTAAACATAAGAAATTGTGTATCACTAAAGTTATGATTCAAAGTGGAATACTGAAAGCACTTGGAAAGTAGTTGCCAGGATAAGAACAGACTGAAAATACAATTAGCTCAAAATCATAGAACAGAGGGAAAAGACTTCATAGTAAAATGAACACCAAGCTGCAAGAAGGAGTGTAGAAAGTATTACCACTGCAGACAGAGCAACACTCATGAGGCCAGAGCCTCCAGCTTTAAAGCCAGAAGTTGTGGAGGCCACCAGGAGGGGCCCAGAAGCAATAATGAGATGATGACCTGCCCTGGGAGCAGCAAGGAGGGGTGAGCCATGTTCCATGGCCCCAATCACTGCCACGGCATACACCGGACACATCAACAACCAGGATGTGGTGGTAGTACCAGGTCTTCCTTTAGGTGACAACTATCATTGAAGATGTTGTCAGAGAAAAAGAAGGGAATGCCCTTAATGCACAGTGTCACCTGAAAGGAAGAAGGACCATTTACCTCCAGAAGATCTGCCATCAACATATCTCCTGTCATATTCATCTTCCTCAATCTCCACTGAAAAAATTGAGGAATCCAAGCCCAACCCCACCTGAACATCTCACCAGCCACACTAGATATAAAAAACAAAAGGTGGATTGCATACATGATAAATTGCAAATATGATAAAAAACATAATGAAAATATACTATGAGATTAGGATTAGAGGAAAAGACATGACATGTAACACTTATATTTATAAAAAGACAATCAATTAAAGGAGAAAAACCGAATAGGTGGAAATTCTTTACAGATTCGTGGAGCTATAAACCATGTAAACTGGACTCTATGACCAAGAGCTAAAAAGTGAGGTGATAAATTAATACAGTTTTATAAAAGAAAGAATTCAGACCTTAGAACAGTAATTAAGGACATAAAGAGATCTGATACATAATTCATAATAAACAGCAAGGAAATGTATCAATATAATCTGAATTTTTAAAAAAAGTTTAGTTCATGTATGTGAGTGAAAATTATTATACCTAGAATAAAACAGTGTAGAGAATCAATTTTATTCCTATTTTTCACTTTTTAACAAATGTGAGCACTGAAAAACTTAATAAAAATAAAAGCTAATAAAAACATACAGCAAATAAGACAGCAGAAAAGAAGCTAATACACATAGAAAGCACTTAAAGACAATCCAATGTAAAGACAACAGCACAAGTGTAATAGAAAATGTATATAAAGGATAACAAAAAATAATTTCCTGAAGTGAAGCAAAAATTAAACCTGAAAAACAAGAGGGACATGTGTCTGATTTAACATGCTTGACAATGCACTATATTCTTGTTAAATTATTGAAATTCAAAATTAAAGAGAACTACTCAAGCCTCTGGCAGTGAAAGAAAATACTTCATAAGGGAGGATATATTAGGTTGGCAACAGAATGTTCCAGAGAAATATCCTTAGGTGAAGTAATGAAACTATGTTTTCCAAATATTGAAGGAAAGATTATTGCCAAATATTATTCTGGTTAGAATTGTATTTAATCATAAAGGCTATGGCAATATGAAGATTATTTCAAACATGAAAGAGCTTGAGAAATCCAACAACTATGAGCTATCCTGATAAAGATTATCTGCTTCATTGCCAAGAGAAGAAGTAAATGAAAATGAAAGCTAAGAAACACAGAGGCCACACTGAACGACTGTAGTTGAGCAATGACTCCTTTTAATACAGAACAAAGAGTAGAAAAGTTACGAGATTATGTCCAGTGAACAAGCCATTTTGGTTCATATGGAAATAGAAATATGAAGTCAAAAATTAACTTGAAGCTCAAGAAAGACCAGATTCTAGGAAAATCTAATCTAGCATTGTCATGATGGGAACTGTTCAAAGATAAACTTGGGCACCTGACAATTACGAAGAGTTTCTTTGAGCAGAGAGCAGTCCATGAATCAGGTATCCCCAGATCACAAGGGGTTCGATAGTTCACTGGGGAAGGTGGGAGAGGGTGAGAGAAACTTTTATAAAATGTTCACAAATGTAAGATAGAGAAAATATATTTGATTGTGAGAGTGGATAGGCCCTAGTTAGAGGTTAGTTGGCAATTTCTGATTGGTAAAAGTGTCCACTTTCATTTTATTGTTTATACTGGGAACCAAAAGCATTGGAGCCACCCAGTCTCACAGTCTCCAATTACAACATTTTTACATTACATATTCTGGTTAAATTATTGAAATGTAAAGGCAGATAGTATCTAGGTGTAATAAAATGGGGAGAGTGGAGCTTGAAGGGAACTGGACAGTGCATTCCCTGTATATAGTAATTTTAAAAAATTTTTTTTAAGAAAAAACAGTGACTCAAATGAAACCATTAGACCTACTAGTCTCTACCAGAGGAATGGAAGGGTAAATAACAGAGCATTCTCCTAGTAAGTGCCTACAGGGGCCAGCTAGGTGGTGTGGGTCCTTGCCACAGGCTGGAAAAATGAAAAGGAAAGGAAAGCTGCTGCTCCAGCTGCAGAGGGTAAAGGTCAACAAAATAAGTCTCAGGACAGGAAGCAGCTACAGAGTTGACAGTTACAAAGTTCCTTTTGAGGGACAGGGTGGATTCAGCTGTTTTGCCTTTCAGGAACTAAAAGGAGGGGCCTAGAGAAAGGAAAGAACAAAGTATAGGAAAGTGCAAACAGTGTTTTGCGCTTCAGGCCAGAGCCCCGGGCAAAGTTTGCCCAGGCAGGTTCCTCTCTCCCCAGGAGTTATTCCCAAGACTGTATTCAGGGGGTGATGCCCTCAGTCTGACAGTGATGGAGTTAATTTTGTGTTATCTATGCCTCTAGGAGACAAATTGCCCTCTAAGCCTGCTTCCAACAAGATAAAACTTCCTCCAAGAGCTCCCCTAGACATTGCAGACAAACCAATGCAACCTCCCTCCCGGAACAAGTGGGATCTTAAGGGGTTTGCTGATCAGCCAATGCAAGAGGAGCAAGGACTGTTAGGAGCTTGCTGTCTGCAGGACTAACTGGGCTCTTCAGCGCACACCCTGTTGAGGACAGAGGAGCCTGGACTCCCATGTTACGAGTATCCGATAGGGAAATTCAGTTGAGGAAGTAAGTTCCCTTAAACACATTAAATCTGTTTTAATACACATAATTAATCCTCAGAACAACCCTTTTAAGTATGCAGTATTGTTAGCTCCATTTTACTCATGGAGAAACCAAGTTTTAGAGAAGCTAAATGACATGGGCAAATTCTCACAGCTACAAGGTGGTTTGGCTGTGATTAGAACCCATAGGGTTTGGATCAAGTGTCTGTTAAAGTCACCATAATGCTATACTGTAGTCATAGCATTAGATTCCAAGTATGTACCAGCCAAACTTTCCGAACACGCTGAGAACTTGAAAATCAGAATCTAGATCCTGTATCCCCATTTGAGGTAAGATTATATCTCAGTTTTAAAGTACACTTAAAGGTACTTACAGAGCTCCATATATTGGTTGCTTGTGTCAGGAACCAGGAAGCAGATTGACTGCAATCCTCTGACTTCTAAGGTCTGCAGAGGAGCTGCCCTAATTGGCTTTCAAATAGCCCCACCCTCAGAGTCCAGTGTGAATCATCCCAGGCATCTCTGGGAAATGTAGTTGCAGGACCTCAGATTGCTCCCTTGCCCACTCATTCAAATTTTTTCATTGAAAAGTGCAGAGGGTTCTACTATGTGATGCTCCCCATGCCCCAGGCTGGGCCAGGTGTGCCCTTGTGTGTCACATATTCCTGTTCTCTAGGAGCCTGATGCCAGACTTCCTAACTGTGACGTGGAAGGTGAGAGCTTGGAAGGGGTTCAGGAAAAGAAGATCCAATAACCTAGAGGAGGCAGATGAGGAAGGTGGTAGGTTTTAACCACACTCCCAGTTTATGGCACACTTTCTTCATCAACTCCTATGAAGCTTCTCTCTTTATTTTTCTTCCTTTCATCCCTCATCCTCAGCTTCATTTACTGCTCCATCCAAAGCACTGTGTTAGGTGTCCAAAATAAGTCCACGCATAGGATCTGAGCGTGACATAGGTCCTATGGTTTTGTTTCTGCTTGTGTTTTTTATTTAATGATATTGGTCTAGATCTCTTGCTATTTCTATGCATTTTCTTCTACACTGTATATGTTTTATGTTTTTCATTGACACATAATAATTATACATATTGAGCAAATTTGGGATTTTGAGAGGAGAAAGTCTACCATATTTCCTCCTTTGTGAGCAAAGTAAACTCTTTCCTTCCTCCTGAAAATGCTTCTGCTTGTCCTTGTTCTTCTGATTCAGCCTCATGGACAAGTGTCCGAGTTTTTGGTAATGGATTGTGGCGCAGCTGGGTGGGCCCATTGGCTTCCAGGTAGAATGGCACCCTGCAGAAGAGAAAGGGCACAGCTCTGGGACAGGTCGTGGGAAAATGGCATCACCTCCTTGGGTAAGAAAGAAATAGATTTCTAGCAGCTGCCAGGACCCAACTTCGCTCTGGGTAGTCTCACCTCTTTGTTTCCAGATGGACGAAGCTTTGACCAACATGATGATTTGGAGGGGAAGGAAACAGATTTGGGAAGTGTCACAACAGCCATGGCCATTCCTAAATAAAGCCCCCTGGGATGCCAAGACCATGTCCCTACCCATTTTTGAGGTGTTTTCAGACCCTCCTACTAGTAATAGAGGTGCCCTTTGCAGGTGGAAATGTGGCAGTTTAGTGGGGCAGGGACCTGGAGCTCTTTTGTGGTTCCCAGGGAATAGGGGAGACTGATCCACTGTTTGGAGAAGGGTTGAACCTTCCAGCACTATGGCAGGGCATTTGGAGCACTGTGGAGGTGCAATATGGGTGGCTCCGTTGTTCCCTTTGGTTTTCCCATTTGTTTGACAGGCTGGCATTTTGTGTTGAGATTTCTCTGTATTGTCTATATTTGTTTGTAAAGTTTTATTGCAACATAGGAAAGTTCTGTCTAAAAGTTCCTTGGGAAAATTTTGGCTGGATGCTAAACTTATAGCTGTGAACCTTCATCTAAGGAAAATGATTTAGTCAACCTCTCATTTTCTCTAGGGCAGTGCACATTGGGTGCAAGTTCCACTTCTCTCCATCCCTCCTGAAGGAGTTGTCTCAAGATTGTGTGCCTTCTCCCAATCCTGCAGATCTAAGCTGGCTGCTGAGATACATGCTGGTGGCACAGATCCATGCCATCTGCTAAGATCTGCACCATCGATTGAGGTGTTTGCCACTGCTGAGTGGCCATGCTTGGCATTGGCAGCTATGGCAGCCACTGGAGACTGCAGTGGCAGCTGCAATCTGCACTGAGAGCTGTGATCAGCACCAGCAACTGCAATCAGTGCTGGAAGCTGCAACACATGCTGGATACCAGGTGCTGCATGGCTGCCTAGGCTGTGCAGGATCCTGGGGGTCCTGTTGGTAGCAGGGATACTTGCCAAGTACTAGAAATTATTTTTAAGTTCTCAGAGGGAGATACCACAGGTCAAATGCCAGTAATACCAAATACAGGGCAGTACTAAATGTTCTTCAACAGAAGGAACCTTCATCTTAACAAATAAGATCTGTACATCTACTTGAAATTGCTTAAAAAAAAAAAAAAAAAAAAACAAATAAGATCTGGAGGAGTCTTACACCCTGGAGAGCCCAGCTTTGGAAGGTTTTGATAGTGATATTTCTTATCGTAATAATATTTATTTATTTATTTGTATACCAAACAACCAAGCAAGAAAGTAAAAAGTATCAGATTAGCAGTCAGGAGACTCAGGTTTTTTTTTGGCTGTATAACTCTGGGCAAACCACTTGCCCTTTCTGGTCTCAGTGCATATGTCTAAGCCCCATCATTTACAGAAAAAATTGTTCTTACTATAATGCATCCCTTCTTTCCAAAATGCCCTCATACTTATAGCACTAAGACGAAAGGGAAAATGCATACCATCAGACCTTGTGGTGTTTGTGATCTCCTTCTCACACCTCTGGGCAACAAAAATCTTGGAATGAGTATGCACAGAGTTATGTTGCCTTGTTTTATTTCTGCTGCCTAATTTTATTAGTTTAATTTTTGCCACATATTATGATATTTTTTAAAACATCTCTTTATTTAATTGATAAATGATAGTAGTGCATTTTATGAGGTATAGTATGATGTTTTGATCTGTGTATACATGAGAGGTAGATTAGATCAAAATACTTAACATATCTAATTTTTTCATTATGAAAGGCTAAAAATCTATTTAGCAATTTTGAGATACACATTATTATTATTAACTATAGTCACTATACAATGCAACAGATCACTAAAACTTATTCCTGCAATCCAACTGAGACTTTATACCCTTTGATCAACATCTTCTTTTTCTCTAGCTCTCGTCCTCTCCCCCAGCTTTTGGTAACCACCTTTATTTACATGCTTTGTTTCTATGAGATCAGTATTTTTAGATTCCACACATAAGTGAGATAAATACAGTATTTGTCTTTCTGTCTGGCTAATTCCACTTAGCACAATGTCCTGTAGCACATCTATGTTGTCACAAATGAGGAATTTCCTTCTTTTTAAGGCCAGGTAGTGTTCCATTGTGTGTATATGACACATTTTTTAATCCATTCTACCATTCATGGATACTTAGGTTGGTTGCATATCGTGGCTCTTATGAATAGTGCTGAAATGCAGACATCTCTTTGATATACCAATTTCAATTCCTTCAGATATATAGACAGAAGTGGAATTGCTGGATCATATTAATTCCATTTTTAGTTTTTGGAGAACCTTCACACTTTTCCCCAATAACTGTACTAATTTACATTCCACAAGACTATCGAATGGTGTTTCCCTTGTGTCCACATCCTTTGTCAACACTTATTATCATTCCTTTTTTTGATAATAGCCATTCTGGTAGATGTGAAGTAATATCTTATTGTGATTTTAATTTGCGTTTCCCTGACGATTAGAGCTGTTGAGCATTTTTCATGTACTTGTTGACCATGCTATGTCTCTTTTTCAGAAATATCTTAGATCCTTTGCCCAGTTTTAAGTAGAATTATTTGGGTTTTTTGGTGTTGAGTTTCTTATATATTCTTGTTATTAATCTCTTGTCATATTACTAGTTTACAAATATTTTCTCCCAATCCATGGGTTGTCTCTTAACCATTGTTAATTGTTTCCTTTTGCTATGCAGAAGTTTTTTAGTTCAATGCAATCTCTGTTTGTCTACTATTGCTTTTGTGGCCCATGCTTTTGAAGTGTTATCCAGAAAATAATTGCCCAGACTAATGTCATGGAGATTATATCCTATTTCTTCTAGTAGCTTCATAGTTTCAGATCCAGTATTTAAGTATTTTATCCATTTTGTGTTTATTTTTGCATATGGTGTGTGATAAGGGTCTAATTTCATTCTTCTGCATGTGGATATCCAGTTTTCCCAACACCACTTATAAAAAAGACTGTTCTTTCCACATTGTGTTTTCTTGGAGTCTTTGTCAGAAATAAACCTTAAATACTTGGGCTTATTTTTGAACTCTGTGTTGTCCTGTTTCATTGGTTGAAGTGTCTGTCTTTATGCTAGTACTATGGTGTTTTGATTATAGTAGATTTATACTATGTTTTGAAATCAGTGAGTGTGATGCCTCTGGTTTTATTCTTTCTGCTCAACATTGCTTTGGCTATTTGGAATCTTTTGTGGTTCCACATAAATTTCAGGATTGTTTTTTGTACTTCTGTGAAAAATGACATTGGAATTTTAAAAGGAGTTGCTTCTGTAGATCACTTTTGGTAGTATGGACAATTCTTCCAGTCCATAAACAATGGAATATATTTGCATTTCTTTGTATTTCCTTTAGTTTCTTTTATTAAAGTTTTATAGTTTTCGTTGTAGATATCTTTCACCTCCTTGGTTAAATTTACTCTGAAGTATTTTTTCATGCTCTTGTAAATGGGGTTTTTTCTTAATTTCTTTTTTGGATAAGTGTTTGTTAAAGTATAGAAATGTTACTGATTTTTGTATATTGATTTTGTAACCTATAAATTTCCTGAATTTATTTATCAGTTCTAACAGTTTTTTTGGTAGAATCTTTAGGATTTTCTATATATAAGATATAGACATCAGCAAACAGAGACAATTTCAATCCTTCCTGTCTGATTTGTGTCTTTCCAATGAATGAGAACTAATAATTAGGATCCCAGTATCTGCTTTCATTTCCTCTTTCACCTAATCCATCTATATTCCAAGAATAGTAAGTATTCTTACTATTGAGTAGGTTTTTGGAATATGCAATGGATTACCTTAGTTCTGGTCTTTGATATTAACCAGAAAGATTTGATTTTTATAGTTAAACGAGCATTAGTCAGATTTATTTTCTGAATACTAAAACTTTGTGTTAAAAAAACTTACAAATTGCAAATGTTTATTTCTGATACTAAAACAAATGGGAAAATTGCTCTATTTTTATAAGTCCTGTACTCCCAACTTATATTTGTTTAGTGTCCTTATCATTACCTGTAAATATTTTTATGCCTTAAAATTCCATAGGATATAATAATGTATTGGTGTTCTATCTCATTTTTAAAAGGAGAGTATATTTGTTAATAATAAATACAATGGAAGGAAAGGCATTTGTAATGCCCCCATCCTACAACCAAAATAATAATGATATCTATGTTTACCTTTCAGATTTGTCCATTATTTCCCTTAGCTGGAATCAGATAGGATGGAAGGCTTAATTTTAAATTCCAGATTACCCAGTTTGCAACTTTACTGAGATCTATTTTGTTGTCCAAGAGAATCCAAAAGGCAACTTAGAAGATGGATGTTTCTAATTAGCTGAGTGACTTTGGGCGTATTTTATTTCACATAGCCTTAAGGATGCTTCCAG